AGTACTTTTTTTTGCATTTTGCATTTCAATTCATTCAGGTCGAAATTACTTAATATTAATGCTAAGTCTCTTGTTGTATCTTTTTTTCTTCCTGTGTACGCACAAAAAAAAAAACTTAAGTTAATGCCATATATACTAACGAAATTTTGATAACGATATATGTCATACCAACGGAAATGAGTAGTTGCACTCATAGGGACCATTACATAAAAAAATAATAAAATACGACCACTTTTAAATTAAAGTCAAAATAACAAATCGTTTGCAAACTAATTCTGAAAATCAGATAAACAGTGAGGCAACAAGCACGAGAAGAAGGTTAATTTCACGCTTCGATAACTTAATTTACATCGATAAAGTTTGAACTCACTCCAAATTCTCAATAATTAAGTAATTAATTAGGCAGTAAATAATTAATTAGGTGATTAAGTCGAGAACTTGTTCCAGAACTGTTACATATAGTGCAACGTTTTAGGTACAAGAATATAAATATACATAATTGTAGATGAAATCTATGTAAACCGTAATATCTGTCCTTTCTTATGGTCAATATCAGTCAATCTGTTGAGACATATGGAAGGTAACGTAAGACCTATAACACGGCGACTCGAAACTGCTGCGGGTAGTGAGATGTTAGGTTTCTAATATGGCGATTTACTACCAACACTTAACCAACCGAGCCAGAAAATATTTGTCGAAAAAAAAAGAGGCATGCCTTGAGGTGGTAACAAACACTTGTACAAGGCACGCTCTGAGGTGATAAGAAATCCTGTACAAGGCACGATCTGAGGTGATAAGAAATACCTGTACAAGGCACGTCTTGAGGTGGTAACAAACATCTGTACAAGGCACGCTCTGAGATAGTAAGAAACACTTGTGAAACAGCTGTACAAGGCACACTGTGAGGTGATTAGAAACACCTGTACAAGGCACGATCTGAGGTAATAAGAAACACCTGTACAAGGCACGCATTGAGGTGGTAAGAAACACCTGTATAAGGCACGATCTGAGGTAGTAAGAAACACCTGTACAAGGCACGCATTGAGGTGGTAAGAAACACCTGTACAAGGCACGCTCTGAGGTAGTAAGAAACACTTGAGAAACAGCTGTACAAGGCACACTGTGAGGTGATTAGAAACACCTGTACAAGGCACGCATTGAGGTGGTAAGAAACACTGTATAAGGCACGATCTGAGGTAGTAAGAAACACCTGTACAAGGCACGCATTGAGGTGGTAAGAAACACTTGTACAAGGCACGCTCTGAGATGATAAGAAACACCTGTACAAGGCACGCTCTGAGGTGATTAGAAACACCTGTACAAGGCACGCTCAGAGATGGGAAGAAAAAACTGTTCAATT